TGTTTCTGTGTCCCATCTCTGGAACATCCTGTCTCTGTCCCCCTTGTTTATTCCACGCAGTATTTTGTATGTCGTTATCATATCTCCCCTGGCCCTCCTGTCCTCCAGTGTCATCAGACCGATTTCCCTTAACCTTTCTTCATAGGACATTCCCCTTAGCTCTAGAACCAGCCTTGTTGCAAACCTTTGCACTTTCTCTAATTTCTTGACGTGTTTGACAGAAATACACGAACTTAAAACGCATGTGAATCAGAGATGTAAAGAAGTACTTTTACAGCGGAATGAACTGAATGTTTAAGTAGTGTAGACAAACTCCACATACAGCTTTATGCGTAGGTATAATAGGCTCAAGTGTCAAGACACTAGTAAGGCCCAGCGACGAAACTCAAACTGCCGGTCCAGGAGTCAAGACTCAAGTCCTGCAAACACACAGATCAGTGGTATAAACCTTGGTAATAAATACCGACAAGTTGGTTTAGAAAGACACGTAAGCAAACACTATAACATATTTATTAGAAAACGTTTCGGTCCTGAGACCTTGATCACTTCTAACATACAGAGGTAGAAAGGCATTATATATATAGGGCGAGAGTTGAGGTTGTGGACCACGTTAACCTGAGGAATTTCATCAGAACTAAGAAATGGAGGAACACTGTGAAGGCTACTGGCCCATGCGAGCAGGTCCATATCAAAACAAAACAACCTCTACCGATGATGAGGACGTGTATAGATGAATCAATGTGACTCCTGTGTTTGTTGGGTTTGGTGCTGCAGGCGTCTACACTATCCCCTTGGTTCTGTCCCTAGAAATATGTAGGCGTACAGGCCAGAGATCTTGCAGTCCGCCTGAATGAGCATCGAAATGCCTCTTAACAGAGACGATGGAAGGTACGCATTGTGTCCACAGAGACTCCACGGGGCATTTGATGAACTGGAATAGGCCCCAACTCGAGTTCTCACCGAACACCAGACCTCAGACGCCGACGGTGGTCCTAGAACCTCACTAATACCGCCGGCACCGAAACCCCCAAAACTTTATTTATCGAACGCAACACTGGAAACTCTACAAAATTTCAAAAACATTGAAAAAAACAGAGGGGTTGATGATGTTTCTCTCGTAAGATCATCTGAGTTGTGTTTTCTGAATGCTTTAAACAAGAAAGCTACTAAATAATGGTGAATACATTTTTTTTAGGTCACCTTACATTTCTGGAGAACTATTAAATAATGTGGTAAAAATTTAACAATAAAGCTTGGAGAGCATTTACAAGTTTTCTGACATGCTTTCGAGTCTGCACTTTTAGCTTCATTTTTGTATTATAATTACATATTATATTCCTGGAGAAGCATTAAACTAATAAGGGTTATGTAATGCTTGGGAATTGAGGAAATAATTGTTTAATTAGAGGAAGATAAAAGATAAAGATTTTATTTCTTTGTAAAGGTTATAGTGTGTAATTACAGTTTTGGTTTGCTAAGTACAAAGAAAGCCACTGTCGTGCCAGGGCATTTTGGGCAGACTAATTCTAGTACATAATAGCTACGTACTTGAATCTAGACAAGATAATTTTTTTTTTTTTTTTTTTACATAGGGTTTGACAAGGTTAGGTTAAGGGTCCCTAGCTTTATTGACAAGCTATTTACAGGTTAAGGATTCCTAACTTTATTGGCAAGCTAAGAGCTGTTACCTACATCAGCTCATTTGAAAGCACTTTTATTGTTATGAGACATACAAGTAGGGAACAGGATGAAGTTGGAGCCATCTGTGGGCCAGCATTTTCATTTGATCAACTGACTTTATCTCGTTGACATCATTATGCTGTACAAATGTGTTCCATACTAGAGTCATATGATCTCAGATGGAGTGATGTTCTGGAGAAGGTTACAGCCAGAGTGAAGTTGCTGCTTTCTGCCCGTCTTGTGGCATAAAAGCTTGTTTCTCGCTGTCCTTGAAGTGGATCCAAGTGTGGTACTTTGAGAATATTGGCCTTGTACATAACAGTAAGGTCACCCACATTCCTCCTGTGTTGAAGGCTCTGCTGAAATGACAGGTCTATCCAGGATGGGTCCAGGTGAGAGATGAGACGTCTTGCTCTGTTCTCTACTCTGTCAAGCAGTTGCAGATGAGAGGGGGACAGGCAAACCAAGAAAGTGGAGCATACTCAAGGTGTGAGCGTACTTGTGCCTCGTATAGAATCTTGCAAGCCCTACTGTCAAGCAGATGCGAGATACGGCGAAGTGCTGTAAGCTTCCTGGCTGCCTTGTTTGCAAGATTTACAACATGGTTCTTCATGGTTAGTTTGGAGTCAAATTTCACCCCAAGGATATCAACTTCTTCTTCAGGTGCCAACACCCTCCCATTCATCCTTACTACTGCACCAGCATTACCATCATGGTGCCTAGAGACCATCATCATTTGTGTTTTATTCAGGTGCAAATGTTACTTGCCATCTATTTCCTCAAGCTGATATAGCTCTTTGCTGGTGATTGATGTAGCTTAGAGCAGCTCGCATTTCTTCTCTTGGATAAGTGAATGTCAGTGTACAGTTGTCTGCATATGCATGGGATTCTGGGATAAGATGAAGAAAGTTGTTGAAGTAGACATTCCATAACAGTGGGTTAACTTCTATTAAACTCTTTATTTAATCTTAATACTAATACAAGGTAGTCAGGGTGGAGGTTTATAAGAATAATAATCTTGAAGTTGCACATAATAAAAACAAAATTACAAATAATGGTTCAAACAGTAATATTTCATGGATTGGCAGGTGTTTAATAGACTAGAGGTCATATAATATATGGTAGAGTTGCTTCAAACTGATTAGAAGTTGTTTTGGTTGGTTTGGTTAGTATTGAGAGATGAGATGATTTTTAAGCAAAGTCCTAAATTTATAAGTAGTCAGGGGATCCTTTATCGGTTCAGGTAGTGAATTCCAGATCTTCGGGCCCTTTATGTGCATTGCATTTTTGTAAAGTGTGAGACTGACACAGGGGATGTCAAAGAGTGCCTTATGCCTTGTATTGTGACTGTATTCTTTTGTAGCTACCAAGGAGAAGTTTAAGTGGAGGGTTTATGTTGGAGTTTAATGTTTTGTGTATGTAGTAGGCACAATAATGAGTGTATGTCTCATATATTTAGTAAGTTCAGGCTTTTGAAAAGTGGTGGGGTGTGATGTCTAGCACAGGAGCTGGTAATCATCTGCACAGCAGCTTTTTGTTGGGTTATTATTAAAGCTTTAAGGTGGTTGTCTGTGGTTGATCCCCAGGCACATATACCATAGGTGAGGTAGGGATATATTAACCCGTAAACGGTCCAAGCAGATCTACGTTCACATGTGTAGTGCTACAAAAGTAAGTAGATCTAAGTTTTTTTTACATATTTTCAAATATAACAAAAAAAAAAGTAGATCAGAGTTTTTTACACATTTTCAAATGTAGAAAAACAAAAAGAAGATCTACTTATTTTACATACTTTCAAATGTTGAAAAAACATATATATACGTTTGGACCGTTTACGGGTTAAAGAGTGGTATAGGGTAAGGAGTGTCATTTGGGGTACATAATAGTATTGTATCTTAGAAAGGATGCCTACTGATTTGAAAATTTTCTGAGATATGCTGGATGTAGGAATGAAATTTAAGATTACAGTCAAAGAGAAGACCTAGAAATTTACCCAGTGTGTCTTGTGATAGGGGAACCGTTTATCAATATATTAAGTTGGATATTTAAGGCTCTGTTTCCAAACAGCATGAAGTATGTTTTGTCTGTGTTGAGAGTGAGTTTGTTGGTCATCATCCAAGTATATATTTTTAGCAGCTTGTTTACAATGTCTCTAAGAATAGCTGGGTTTGAGTGGGAATAGACATAACTAGTGTCATCTGTGAATAGAAGTGGTTTAAGGAGTTGAGATGCATTGGGGAGATCATTGATGTAGATGAGGACGAGGAGTGGGCCTAGGACATTACCCTGGGGCACTCCAATAGCTACAAGCTAGATAGTGGAATTGACTCCATTTGCGTATTCATACTGGTGTCTATCGTTAAGATTTTAGGTAATCGAGGGAATGTCCTCTTGATGCCATAATGATTTAATTTTAAGTGCAGGAGATTGTGGTCCACTGTATCAAATGCTTTCCATAGGTCAATGAAGAGCCCCAGACGAAATTCGTTTTTATCGAGGGTTGTATATATTAGTTCAAGCATTTGTATAATGGCATCATTTGTCCTTTTTTTTGGTCTAAACCCAAACTGGCAGGGGCTATGTATGTTGTTGGATATAAGGTAGGAGTAAAGTCGTTGGAGTTTTTTTTTTATTTTATTTTAGAAAGTAAGGGCAAGTTTGATATAAGTTATAGTTGTTCAGATCAGTTGGATCACCTTCTTTGAGTATCAGGGTGCCTCCATTGCCATGGACCATGAGCCCTTCATGAGCATAAAGGCATCCACTTTCCTGCACTTTGTGTTCTTAGAGCACAAAAATTCTTACAGTAGATTAGGCATTTGTACTGTAAAATGGTAAACCCTCAATTTGATGGCTCAATAAGGGGTAGTACTGTACACAAATCACATTTACAGGCTAAGAGCTGTTTTCCTACCTCAGTTCATGGTAGACTAGTAATGGTAATCATGGTAGATAGCTGAGATTGTGTTGTGATTGTAAGATATTTTCCTGTATTCCCAAAATCCTGCCTTCTTCAGACTAAGTTGGCATGTGGTTTTACAAATTTGTTTTTAACTTGTGACTGTGGTATTATGTATATGCACATACAGTGGTCCTAACAAGTAATGAAAATTTAAAGTAGCATAATTTAAACCAGGGTGAAGATGATTTGGTATTTGGCAAGGGCTCCAGTTTTGTATCGTTGAATACTATACTGTACCATATTGTAATTGATAATTGTTTTAATTTTACATAAGTTAGCCTTGAGAACTTATCGATTTATTTTCTCTAAACAACTGCAGTGAAATTCTAATTATTTCTTGGAATGAAATACATTTGTAAAATACAGTTATTTTTGTTGTTTGCAGACAAAACTAAACATAACCTCCTGGTGGAAAGGACGCAATGGGAGACTGCAGTGACCTTGACCGGCAAATTGAACAGCTGCGACGATGTGAGGTCATCAAAGAGGCAGAGGTTAAAGCCCTCTGTGCCAAAGCCAGGGAAATACTTGTAGAAGAAAGCAATGTACAAAGAGTTGACTCCCCTGTTACAGTAAGTTTAAAAAAAAAAAAATTTTGAACTTTTTTTTTTTTTGGTATGGTTTCTCTGTCCTTTCCTCAGTGTTTGCCCCCTTTACATATTTTATGTTCAGTAGCTATCCCTTAAAATTTCACACATTTTTTTTTAACATTTCAGGTATGTGGGGATATTCATGGCCAGTTTTATGATCTCAAGGAATTGTTCAAGGTTGGAGGAGACGTACCGGATACAAATTATCTTTTTATGGGAGATTTTGTCGACAGAGGTTTCTATAGTGTAGAGACTTTCCTGCTTCTTTTAGCATTAAAGGTAAGCACACTCTTATGTTGTAAATATTAAAAGGAAAATAGTTTTTTTTTTTTTTTTTTTTTTTTTTTTTTTTTTTTTGTTCTTGACATTAGTAGGGGTTGACTGAATATAGTGTAGGCCTCTTTGGCACCACTACCTAGCTTTGCCAAAATATCAAGCTGGAATTGGTGAGAACCATTTTGTCTGTGACTCTCCTGTAATTATAACAAAAATTCCTTAATTTTGTATACGTACTGTATCCTTAGCATGTTCCTTTGTAGGCAATAGATATAGTATATTTAGGAATTTAAAGTAAAAATATAAGGCTGCACGTAATCCTTTGGTTGTTATATATAAGCAGGGTAGAGGTGGGGTACACTGTAAGTGTAGCCAATCACTCTAGCCTCGCTAGCTGGTCGTTATTTTACAAATACACATTCAACAATGAGAGTATTGTACTTGTTTGCATTAATGTATGGTTCCATGATTAACATCAGAAATCAGGGTGCATCTAAAGTACTGTTGTATCTTATCAGGTAGATGTGATAAATTAACATTGATACAGTATAGAGTACTGTGTATAATTTTTCAACATAACCATTTCAAACCAAGGCAGCAGTAACCCCAAAGAAGGAAATACATTCACACTCACTGATTCTCTAGCTGTCTTTTCACATGTGCAACATTAATAATGTGTTATGTAAAGAAAATATTTTATATGACTTGCATTTGTTGCTCTTTTAGGTACGGTATCCTGACAGAATAACACTGATCAGAGGTAATCACGAATCAAGACAGATTACTCAAGTTTATGGCTTTTATGATGAATGTTTAAGAAAATATGGTTCTATCACAGTTTGGCGGTATTGCACGGAAATTTTTGATTACCTCTCCTTATCAGCTATTATTGATGGAAAGGTGAGTGCTCAAGCAGATAATTTTGTGTTAGATATTTTGGAGTGAAATTATTGCTTTATTGTACTGAAAATCTTTATAATCTGCAACCCATGCTCTTTGATGTGTAAAACATTGTACTGTACTTTTGTTCTTATGTACTGTGGCAATTCCCACTTTCCATTAGATCCAATATATTATAATCTCACACCCTTCCTCAACACTTTAGTATTCACTTGTTTTTTAACCCCATCTATAAACGTTAAACAGTCTTGGTGACATGCCTCCCTCTCCATGCCGTACTTACTCTGGAAAATAGTCTCCTTCCCTCCTAAAATAAAATAATTTTTAATAGCTTAACAGCTATCTCCTACCAAGACAGGGCAACTCAAAGAAAACAGAAAACACATGAACCAACATTTACTCAACTGCTGTCAACTTACTGACATCACAATCAGATTATCCCTCTGACTGCAATATCTCCACCCCTCCTTCAGAGTGCAGGCACTGCCCTTCCCACCTCCAAGACTCTGGTTACCCAATTTCTTTCAACCCCTTCATAAAAGTTACCTTGCTCACACTCCAGCAGCATGTCCATAAAAAACCCACTTGATGCCACTCAATCCAATCTAACATGCCACGAGTAAATGAAAAAATAACTTAAGTGTGAAGAAATCGAGACTTCAGCACTCTTCATACATAAGGGGATTCCCAACAGACCCCCTGGCAGTCTTCAAGACAGAACTGGATAAGTTCCTAATCATCCAGGTTGTGGTGTACATGTAGGACTACATGTGATAAACACCAACAACCTGTTTGATCAGGCCAGCCATCAGGAGGCCTGATCTGGAACTGGGCAGCAGAGGTTATGACCTCTGGAACACACAAGGTAGATGTTTCATCAGAGTGCATACACTGTCCTTCCCACATCCAAGATGAGGCGTGTTTATTCCAGACCATGTCTCTTTTCACTCCTATCTAACATGGTCATACAAGCCTTCTGGATGCTCAAACCCCTAAAACCTTTACCCCCTCCCAACTGTTCCGGGATGACCCCTACTTTTTCTACCTTCCATCTCAGATTTATACACCACCTTTGTTATACTTTCTCTCTCTCTCTTTCTTTCTCTTTCTTATATTCCTTCTGGCAAGTCATTTATTTAGATTAGACGCATATTTGGACAAGCACTGACCCTCGTGGTAATCCACTGGTGACATTTTTCCTTTAGGACTTTTTTTTTATAGTTATTTTGCATTTTTCTTTGAAACAAAATCTGTCACTGTGCTTGGTTTCTTCTTGTTTATTATATCTTTTTAAGTGCTGTCTTTCTCTTCTATTTTATCTTTCTCTTAATTTCTTTTTCTTTCATCTCTTTCCTTTTTCTCCCCTCCCTCTCTGTGTGTATGTAGGAAGATATTTTTCTTTTTCGAGTTTGCAGTTGCATGCACGTTGTTTACTTGCATATTATGCTCCTATATTTTATATTTCTTGTATCTTCAACAGATATTTTGTGTCCATGGTGGTTTATCACCGAGTATACAAACCTTAGATCAAATTCGCACCATTGACCGAAAGCAAGAAGTACCTCATGATGGACCCATGTGTGATCTCTTATGGTCTGATCCTGAAGGTAAAGCTATGCCATCAGTAACACAACATAACATTATAGTACATTTACTGTATTTAGTTTTTAACTATGTATATTCTGCACTCAGTTGACAATATATTATTGTGAGTGGAGAGCCAGAATTGTGTATAGAAGAAGTGAAAATAATAAAAAGTATGTGCAAATAGTTTTTAAGGGGTGGGGGAGTACCTTGATGTTAAAAGACTCTTGATTCCAGGCATTAGTTATCTTCCCCTAAGATAAAACCTGACTACCTCCCATTCCCCAGGTTCTGAATGAACCTTATGAGTTTAGTGCCTTCTATGAATATGGCAATAGTAAAGAAAGTAAAGAAGATGTTAATATGTATAGGAAAGAGGGTGATTGGTCTTCTCTTTTAAGAGAGTCTTAGACAAGGATGTAGTCATCTTGGTTGTTAAATCTGTATATTGACAAATATAAGAAGAGTGGGTGCTAATATGTTGTGGAGCTTCAGTTCTAAAAGCTAATGTTGGATATTGTCTGTGTATGTTGGGGGTGGGGTGTCTCATTTGATATTTGTAGATAGTACAGCAATTTAGAGATACAGAAGACCAGCTTCAGCAGTTTGTAGAGCAGTTTAGAAAGGTCTGTAAAAGAAAGCTAAGAGTAGACAGAGAAAACAGCAAGGTAAATGAAAGGTCAGTGGTCAGAATGAAGTTGAATAGCATTTGAGAGTGGATGTATCAGTAAATGGTTTTACAGAGGATATGTAAAATCACAAGATTGATAGGAGAAAAAAAAAAAACTAAGATGTCAGATTGTTTAGGCATACGTGGAAGTAAAATTCTCATTGGGTATAAAAAGTGGAATTTTATCATGCTGGACTTATAATGTTGCAAAAAGGCAATTAGTCGCAGTGGAAATATCTTGATTCATGCATGGTATTTGTGGAGAATAAGGTATGAAGAAATTCAAGACTTTGTTGGTATGAAAGATATAATGAAACAAGCAGAAGGGGTCTTCCTATCATAAGATAGGGAAAAGTGGTTTGGAAGGGGGTAGAAAAGAGCTCAGATATTCAGATATTCATGTTAGATCAGAATAAGGTTAGGCAATTAGTCCATATATGTGAGCAGTACAGTGGACCCCCGGTTAACGAACTTTTTTCATTCCAGTAGTATGTTCAGGTGCCAGTACTGACCGAATTTTTTCCCATAAGGAATATTGTGAAGTAGATTAGTCCATTTCAGACCCCCAAACATACACGTACAAACGCACTTACATAAATACACTTACATAATTGGTCGCATTTGGAGGTGATCGTTAAGCGGGGGTCCACTGTATTTAGATGAAGGTAGGGAAGTTTTTATTGCACTTACAGATTTAGAAAAGGCATATGATAGAGTGGATAGGGAAGCAATGTGGCAGATGTTGCAAGTAGTATATGGAATAGGTGGTAAGTTACTAAATGCTGTAAAGAGTTTTTATGAGGATAGTGAGGCTCAGGTTAGGGTGTGTAGAAGAGAGGGAGACTACTTCTCGGTAAAAGTAGGTCTTAGACAGGGATGTGTAATGTCACCATGGTTGTTTAATATATTTATAGATGGGGTTGTAAAAGAAGTAAATGCTAGGGTGTTCGAGAGAGGGGTGGGATTAAATTATGGGGAATCAAATTCAAAATGGGAATTGACACAGTTACTTTTTGCTGATGATACTGTGCCTATGGGAGATTCTAAAGAAAAATTGCAAAGGTTAGTGGACGAATTTGGGTGTGTGTAAAGGTAGAAAGTTGAAAGTGAACATATAAAAGAGTAAGGTGATGAGAGTATCAAATGATTTAGATAAAGAAAAATTGGATATCAAATTGGGGAGGAGAAGTATGGAAGAAGTGAATGTTTTCAGATATTTGGGAGTTGACGTGTCAGCGGATGGATTTATGAAGGATGAGGTTAATCATAGAATTAATGAAGGAAAAAAGGTGAGTGGTGCATTGAGGTATATGTGGAGGCAAAAAATGTTATCTATGGGGGCAAAGAAGGGAATGTATGAAAGTACTATAGTAGTACCAACACTCTTATATGGGTGTGAAGCTTGGGTTGTAAATGCTGCAGCTAGGAGGCGGTTGGAGGCAGTGGAGATGTCATGTCTAAGAGCAATGTGTGTTTTGTAAATATTATGCAGAAAATTCGGAGTGTGGAAATTAGGGAAAGGTGTGGAGTTAATAAAAGTATTAGTCAAAGGGCTGAAGAGGGTTTGTTGAGGTGGTTTGGTAATTTAGAGAGAATGGATCAAAGTAGAATGACATGGAGAGCGTATAAATCTGTAGGGGAAGGAAGGCGGGGTAGGGGGTCGTCCTCGAAAAGGTTGGAGGGAGGGGGGTAAAGGAGGTGTTGTGGGCAAGGGGTTTGGACTTCCAGCAAGCATGCGTGATCGTGTTAGATAGGAGTGAATGGAGACAAATGGTATTTGGGACCTGACGAGCTGTTGGAGTGTGAGCAGGGTAATATTTAGTGAAGGAATTCAGGGAAACCTGTTATTTTATATAACCGGACTTGAGTCCTGGAAATGGGAAGTACAATGCCTGCACTCTAAAGGAGGGGTTTGGGATATTGGCAGTTTGGAGGGATATAGTATTGTGTATTTTTATACGTATATACTTCTAAACTGTTGTATTCTGGGCACTTCTGCAAAAACAGTGATTATGTGTGAGTGAGGTGAAAGTGTTGAATGATGATGAAAGTATTCTCTCTCTGGGGATTTTCTTTTTTTTTTGGGTCACCCTGCCTCGGTGGGAGACGGCCGACTTGTTGAAAAAAAAAAAATAGTAGTCCATGAGATTGGAAGTGCTGGAGTACAGTGTAATATATATTATGTGAGTTGATAAAACCATGAGATTTTAAGCTTGAGAAATAGTGCCAGTACTTTTAAAATGGAGCTCAGGTCAACATTGGACTGTAAAGTTTGGGCCCTTCTGGAAAGGCAGCTTCTGAATGAGTGACTATATTTTCTTTAGGTCATCCTGGTTGCAGGGATTGAATTTTTGCTCGTGGCCACCTCTCAATTTTCTGCTTGCCAAATTCACTCCTTCCTAGCCTTGTGGGCCCTATTGTACCTGCTCTTGAAACTATGTATGGTGTTTGCCTCTATCACTTTTTTATTTTTTCTCAACAAGTCGGTTGTCTCCCACCGAGGCAGGGTGACCCAAAAAGAAAGAAAATACTTTCATCATCATTCAACACTTTCACCTCACCGATACATAATCACTGTTTTTGCAGAGGTGCCCAGATACAACAGTTTAGAAGCATATATAAAGATATATGTACACTTAGGTCACACTACACATACATGTACACATTTATTTATACACACTCATCTGAGTTTTCTTTGATTTTATCTTAATAGTTCTTGGTCTTATTACTTTTCCTTTTATATCCATGGGGAAGTGGAATAAGAATCTTTCCTCCGTAAGCCATGCGTGTTGTAAAAGTCAACTAAAATGCCGGGAACAATGGGCTAGTAACCCCTTTTCCTGTAAAGATTACTAAAAAGAATAAGAAGAAGAAAATTGTCAAAGTGGGAAGTCTGAATGTGCGTGGATGTTGTGCAGATGATAAGAAGAGATGATTGTGGATGTTTATGAATGAGAAGAAGCTGGATGTCCTGGCTTTAAGTGAAACAAAGCTGAAGGGGTGGGAGAGTTTCAGTGGAGAGGAATAAATGGGATTAGGTCAGGGGTTTCAAATAGAGTTAGAGCTAAAGAAGGAGTAGCAATAATGTTGAAGGATAAGCTATGGCAGGAAAAGAGGGACTATAAATGTATTAATTCAAGGATTATGTGGAGTAAAATAAAGATTGGATGTGAAAAGTGGGTTATAATAAGCGTGTATGCACCTGGAGAAGAGAAGTGTAGAGGAGAGAGAGAGATTTTGGGAAATGTTGAGTGAATGCGTGGGAGTTTTGAATCAAGTGTGAGAGTAATGGTGGTTGGGGATTTCAATGCTAAAGTGGGTAAAAATGTTATGGAGGGAGTAGTAGGTAAATTTGGGGTGCCAGGGGTAAATGTAAATGGGGAGCCGTTAATTGAGCTATGTGTAGAAAGAGATTTGGTAATAAGTAATACATATTTTATGAAAATGAGAATAAATAAATATACAAGGTATGATGTAGCACGTAATGAAAGTAGTTTATTAGATTATGTATTGGTGGATAAAAGGTTGATGGGTAGCTGGTACCACTATATTTTCATACATTCCCTTTTTTGCCTTCATAGATAACGTTTAATAGTCTCCACATATAGCTCAACGCACCACTCACCTTTTTTCTTTCATCAATTCTATGGTTAACCTCATCCTTCATAAACCCATCTGCTGACATGTCAACTACCAAATAGCTGAAAACATTCACTTCTTCCATACTCCCTCTTTCCAGTGTGATATCCAATTTTTCTTTATCTAAATCATTTGATACCCTCACCACTTTACTCTTATCTATGTTCACTTTCAACTTTCTACCTTTACACACCCTCCCTTTCTATTAATATTATTTTTATTATTATTATATATACTCCATTTTCCTTTCCAACCAGATGTGCCTCCAAGTGCCTCTCACACATTTTAGCTCTGTCTGCCCTATTAGTATCTCTTGAGTATTTGATTTCTTGTGATGTTCATATTTAATTCACTCAAGGGAGGTTCCTTCATTCTTCACTTTCCTTGAATTATGTTTGATTGCCTCCCATTCTCCAATCATTGTATGGCCCTTATGAGTTTAGTGCTTCCCCTAAATATTATATGATTATTATATATTATATGAATATTATATGATTATGTGTGAGTGAGGTGAAAGTGTTGAATGGTGATGAAAGTATTTTCTTTTTGGGGATTTTCTTTCTTTTTTGGGTCACCCTGCCTCGGTGGGAGACGACCGACTTGTTGAAAAAAAGAAAAAAAATTAGTAGTAGTTTTTTTTTTTTTCACAAGCCGGCCGTCTCCCACCGAGGCAGGGTGACCCAAAAAAGAAAGAAAATCCCCAAAAAGAAAATACTTTCATAATCATTCAACACTTTCACATCACTCACACATGATCACTGTTTTTGCAGAGGTGCTCAGAACACAACAGTTTAGAAGCATATACGTATAAAGATACACAACATATCCCTCAAAACTGCTAATATCCCAAACCCCTCCTTTAGAGTGCAGGAATTGTACTTCCCATTTCCAGGACTCAAGTCCTGCTATATAAAAATAACTGGTTTCCCTGAATCCCAACAGATCGTCAGGTCCCAAATACCATTCGTCTCCATTCACTCCTATGGAACACGCTCATTAGTAGTAGTAGTAGTAGTAGTAGTAGTAGTAATTATTAAAACGCTTTGTTCTTCTCACAGATACTCAAGGGTGGGGTGTGAGTCCAAGAGGTGCTGGCTATCTTTTTGGGTCTGATGTAGTAGCACAGTTCAACGACACTAATGGCATTGATATGATATGCCGTGCTCATCAATTAGTCATGGAAGGCTATAAATGGCATTTTAATAACACAGTTTTAACTGTCTGGTCTGCACCAAATTATTGCTATAGGTAAGTCAAATAAATGAATATAAAAAATAATTTAATATAAAATATTTTTATATATTAGGAGGTTTTGCTACAGTGTGAGGTAGTTGTTTTTTTAACTAGACTAGTACACTATTTTGATAATGCTCCATTTATATAAGAGGGTTGATTTATTAATATTTCTGTGTGCTTTCTATAATTTTTTAAAAGTTGTATTTAAATCTTTCTCTGTAAGATATGCGTGTCATAAGAGGTGACTAAAATGCCAGGAGCAAGGGGCTAATAACCCCTTCTGTATACATTACTAAATTTATAAAGAGAAACTTTCCTTTTTCTCTTTAGGCCACCCTGCTTCGGTGGGATACAGCCGGTGTGTTAAAAGAAAAAAGTTGTATTTCAAAGCCAGAGACAAAAAGAGATATGAAAGTTCAGGGTCAAAAAGTAGCACTAGCTGGTAGTAAATAATGAGAGGGGAAAAAAGTGTGAGAGAGACACATCTTCAGATGCTACAGCTATATTTGGTTTATGTTTTAACATAAAGCAAAGAGAATTGTCTTCTCATTAATGCCTAGTTGAAGAAAATGATAGGGAATAAACTTTTTTAAAAGTTAGCAGGGTTAATATGTATTTGGATCATTCTGTATTTAGTTTTTTTTTTTTTTTTTTTTTTTTTTTTTTTTTTTTTTTTTTGTTTTCTTGTTTCTTACTATTTATGATTTTTAGTATGTACAGTATAGAAGGGAAATGATTTTATTAATTTTGATACTTTTCTTGTATACAATTGAATTATAGGAGCATGAAAAAATTTCACGACCTTCAGTTTTATACCAGTTTAGGTATATTACAGTATAAGGCCTACCTACTTAAAACTCTCTGATTGTGTTTTCTTCAAAATTTAATATACATAGTACAGCACTAATATTTTTTTAAATTGTAACTGACATCTATTTACATTTTCAAAGGTGTGGGAATGTAGCTGCTATTTTGGAACTTGATGAAAATCTTAAACGAGATTTCACCATATTTGAAGCGGCTCCACAAGAGAGTAGAGGAATCCCAGCAAAAAAACCTCAAGCAGACTATTTCCTCTAGGATGTTATTAAATATGAAAGTTGTGGTGTGTTGCAGAATATTTTTTGTATATGGGTCAGTGTGTGGTCATTATTACATAAATTATATCTAAATTATATTTAGGCTTTGCAAGTTAGAAGATACTAAAGAAAGATTGGATTTTGAGAATATGCCAGATAAATATACTTGTATGTAGACACAAGAAGCCAAAACCCAAGCATTGGGAGTTCTAGAGTTTCATAATGTTTGATGTAAAATTATTTTTTTTTTTTTTTTATTATCACACCGGCCGATTCCCACCAAGGCAGGGTGGCCCGAAAAAGAAAAACTTTCACCATCATTCACTCCATCACTGTCTTGCCAGAAGGGTGCTTTACACTACAGTTTTTAAACTGCAACATTAAATTAAATATAGATGTTCCAGTGGTAAATTGAGTTTTGGTTAGATGTGCCTTGTTTGAGATATTATTGGTATATTTACATTATCCTAGTCCTCTTAGGAATTTTTTTCAACAAAATTTCATAAGTACATGTGTAATTGTTTGTGGAGCAGTGTAAGATTTGATTAAATACCACTGTCATATATTGTGGGTTCCATATTGTCATTCGACCTGGAAAATGAAATTGTTAGTATTCAGCATAGTATTTATGCTGATATAGGCAGAACCTCTGCATTAATATATTTTGATTTCATAAAAGATGTTATAATAGTCCTACAGTTAACAGAGATCATTAATAAGCATGACAGTATATCCATAAGCACCTGGCCATGGTAAAAATTTGTTTAGCTGTGGGTTGTGTCATGGTGTCAAAGTCAGAAGACATACTATGACTTACACTGGAGAGGCCTACCAAGACCTAAGGCTTGACATAGCCTGGTTAGACTGGTGGCAAATTTTGTGAAGTTGCCCTGCTTACCCTTGTCAGTTCTTGGAAATACAAAAATTTAATAACTTATTCTTAAGCTTTATACTTTTCCTTGCAACTTGATGCTATTACAAATTACAGAATAGCTTATGAAAACAGAACACAAATTTGGTAAGGTAACTTGCTGGACAAGTATAGTAATAGGGTTGTTAATGTTTGTAGTCACTGAAGTTAGTGAAATGCTGTACAAGTATCAAACTTTTATTGACCTCGTGGGAACCTCGGAGTTCCTCTTTATATTAACCATATGGTTACATGATATCTACGTGTACTTCATAAGAACCTCCTGTGAGAGTTCCTTTATGTTAACCATGTGGTTATATGGGAATATTTATCTGCTGTAATCACTTCATAATAATCTTCATCTGTAAATGAAGCATCTCATTGTTCATCCTAATTAATACCCATCATTTATTCAACATTGTAACGTGCAACCCTCAAGATGTGAAGCACGTACAGCTGAACCATTCCACGTACATCAGTATAGTAATGTTTTGTTCAGGAGAGGGATTGAAGAGATCATTTAAAAGTAAATAGGAAGGCAAAATCTAAATACATTTGTATATCTGGTAAATATAATAATTTTATCACTTAATGTGATTAACACAGTTTTTTATAAAACACTTCCTCTTGCATAGAAACTAATTTGCATTTTATAGATTTAAAAAATGTACAGTAGTAACTTGGTTTACAAACGTATGAAAAAATGAGTTAGTTGAATCATAAAAACTGAGTACTGTACTGTTCAAAACATCGAGTGTTATATATCATCAGTAGCACATTAGTCTTGTGCAAATGGGAGACAATAGATGAAAGCAAAACTTGCAGCAGAAAACTATTACCTCTTAAAACTATGTTACTGAAGTAATATAAAATACAATTGCAGTGTGATGATGAAGCTGGAGTTTTAATTATTTTTATGTATTCAATACTAGTAATGTAATAATGAATACGTTAACGATAATATGTTTAATTTCGGTTAACATTATATTTTACAAATGGAGGAGAGAATCCATCCTCACAACATGTGTACGACTTACGAAAAGGTCCTCTGTACTTGTATTTGTAAATCTAATGTTTTACCTCCAACTAGATTATGGTAGTCTTTGTAACTGATAAGCTGAATAACCAAGCAGCTGTGGTAGGTAAGTTTGGGGTGCCAGGTGTAAATGATAATGGGAGCCCTTTGATTGAACTTTGTATAGAAAGGGGTTTAGTTATAGGTAATACATATTTTAAGAAAAAGAGGATAAATAAGTATACACGATATGATGTAGGGCGAAATGACAGTAGTTTGTTGGATTATGTATTGGTAGATAAAAGACTGTTGAGTAGACTTCAGGATGTACATGTTTATAGAGGGGCCACAGATATATCAGATCACTTTCTAGTTGTAGCTATACTGAGAGTAAAAGGTAGATGGGATACAAGGAGAATAGAAGCATCAGGGAAGAGAGAGGTGAAGGTTTATAAACTAAAAGAGGAGCAGTTAGGGTAAGATATAAACAGCTATTGGAGGATAGATGGGCTAATGAGAGCATAGGCAATGGGGTCGAAGAGGTATGGGGTAGGTTTAAAAATGTAGTGTTAGAGTGTTCAGCAGAAGTTTGTGGTTACAGGAAAGTGGGTGCAGGAGGGAAGAGGAGCGATTGGTGGAATGATGATGTAAAGAGAGTAGTAAGGGAGAAAAAGTTAGCATATGAGAAGTTTTTACAAAGTAGAAGTGATGCAAGGAGGGAAGAGTATATGGAGAAAAAGAGAGAAGTTAAGAGAGTGGTGAAGCAATGTAAAAAGAGAGCAAATGAGAGAGTGGGTGAGATGTTATCAACAAATTTTGTTGAAAATAAGAAAAAGTTTTGGAGTGAGATTAACCCAAATTAAGAAAGCCTAGAGAACAAATGGATTTTTTCAGTTAAAAATAGGAGAGGAGAGTTATTAAATGGAGAGTTAGAGGTATTGGGAAGATGGAAGGAATATTTTGAGGAATTGTTAAATGTTGATGAAGATAGGGAAGCTGTGATTTCGTGTATAGGGCAAGGAGGAATAACATCTTTAGGAGTGGGGAAAAGACCCAGTTTGTGAGTGTGGGGGAAGTTCGTGAGGCAGAAAGGAAAAAATGAAAGGGGGTAAGGCAGCCGGGATTGAGATAAAAAATAGAAATGTTAAAAGCAGGTGGGGATATAGTTTTGGAGGGGTTTTGGGGCAATTATTTAATAAATGTATGGAAGGGGGTAAGGTACCTAGGGATTGGCAGAGACATGCATAGTTCCTTTGTATAAAGGCAAAGGGGATAAAAGAGAGTGCAAAAATTATAGGGGATAAGTCTGTTGAGTGTACCTGGTAAAGTGTATGGTAGAGTTATAATTGAAAGAATTAAGAGTAGACGGAGAATAGGATAGCAGATGAAAAAGGGAAAGGCTTTAGGAAAGGTAGGGGGTGTGGGGACCAGGTGTTTTACAGTGAAACATAAAAGTGAACAGTATTTAGATAAGGCTAAAGAGGTCTTTGTGGCATTTATGGATTTGGAAAGGCGAAATGACAGGGTGGATAGGGGGCAATGTGGCAGATGTTTGCAAGTGTATGGTGTAGGGGTAGGTTACTGAAAGCAGTGAAGAGTTTTTACGAGGATAGTGAGGCTCAAGTTAGAGTACTGGGAAAGAGGGAAATTTTTTCCCATTAAAAGTAGGCCTTAGAAAAGGGATGTGTGATGTCACCGTGGTTGTTTAATATATTTATAGATGGGGTTTTGTAAGAGAATTTAAATGCGAGGTTTTGGCAAGGGGCGTGGAGTTAAAAGATAAAGAATCACACACAAAGTGGGAGTTGTCACAGCTGCTCTTTGCTGATGACACTGTGCTCTTGGAGATTCTGAAGAGAAAATTGCAGAGATTGGTGGATGAATTTTGGGAGGGGGTGCAAAAGAAGAAAAATTTAAAGGTGAATACAGGAAAGAGTAAGGTTATGAGGGTAACAAAAAGGATAGGTTGATGAAAGATTGAATATCAGATTGGAGGGAGGGGATATGGAGGAGGTGAACGTATTCAGATATTTGGGAGTGGACGTGCGGCGGATGGGTCTATGAAAGATGAGGTGAAACATAGAATTGATGAGGGAAAAGAGTGATTGGTGCACTTAGGAGTCTGTGGAAACAAAGAAACTTTGTCCTTGGAGGCAAAGAGGGAATGTATAGAGTATAGTTTTACCAACGCCTTATATGGGTGTGAAGCGTGGGTGATGAATGTTGCAGCGAGGAGAAGGCTGGAGCAGTGGAGATGTCATGTCTGAGGGCAATGTGTGGTGTGAATATAATGCAGAGAAATTCGTAAATTTTTGGGAAATTAGGAGGAGGTGCGGATTACCAAAACTGTTGTCCCGAGGGCTGAGGAAGGGTTGTTGAGGTGGTTCGGACATGTAGAGAGAATGGAGCGAAACAGAAAAGCCCTTTAAGAGTGTATCAGTCTGTAAATGGAAGGAAGGGGGGGTAGGGGTCGGCCTAGGAAGGGTTGGAGGGAGGGGGTAAAGGAGGTTTTGTGTGCGAGGGCTTGGACTTCCAGCAGGCATGCGTGAGCGTGTTTGATAGGAGTGAATGGAGACAAATGGTTTTTAATACTTTACGTGCTGTTGGTGTGAGCAAAGTAACATTTATGAAGGGATTCAGGGAAACCGGAGGCCGGACTTGAGTCCTGGAATGGAAGTACAGTGCCTGCACTCTGAGGAGGGGTTTTATGTGCAGTTTTAAAAACTGTAGTGTAAAAGCCCCTTCTGGCAAGACAGTGATGGAGTGAATGATGGTGAAAGTTTTTCTTTTTCGGGCCACCCTGCCTTGGTGGGAATCGGCCGGTGTGATAATAAAAAAAAAATAAATTGTCACTGGCCAAAAAAAAAAAAGATACATTTAATTTTTTTGCTAAATTGTGTAAAAAATATTTACAACAAAATACAGTAAAAATTTTTTTTTTTTTTTTCCATCTTGCAAGGCACAGCTAAACCTTACTCATTATACTGATCCATATTTTTGCATCAACCTCATACACTACTTGTAATAGTTCAAATAACATTCAGCCATAACATTATAATGGAAGGTGTGTTAATATTTGTAAAGAAATATGACTGCTAGCATGTAGCAGCAAAGCTTTGTTTAAAGCACAAGTTAAACAAGAAAATTGAGCATTTTGTAGATAAACAGTATAGATGCATAAATTGTGACTGGGAAGGTTTCAAAGTGCTGAGGATATAGGTGCCAGGCATGTAGGAAAGATGAGCTGATACAAGTTTACATTTTATGCCATATTTGCTATGGATTCAATGTTTATTGCAATCATTAGGTGAAGTGTTGAGCTTTTTGGGTTTGTGTAGAAAATGAGACATAGAACGTAGATAGACATAGACGAAAGTATGACCATTAGAATATCGTTGCTGCTGGAGGTTCAGTTGTGGGATCTTCTGTAATACTATAGCTCTAGACTGGATGCCCAGGGTACATGGCTCAGGCATTCTGTAATATAACCCAGTATTTGGATGTTATGTATTGTACAAAGGAAGTGAATGCTGACATGTCCCATTTGTGAAAGCCTGTTGGCTCTCATTACTAAGGATATGAGATAGACTGTAAATATTGCATCAGGATTTTTTACATTGTGCAAGTTCTTAGTGTTCAGCATGTATCAAACTTGGTGGAGAATGTGGAATACAAGATTATATTTACCATTGTTCATAAGGGCTCCTGTTCATTTTCAAATTCTCAGAACTACCATTTTATTAGCCATGGTCCTTGCAACTCTTGAATGCATATTTATGTATGTATATGTTAGTAAATCAAGGTTAGTTTCCTTGTAAAAGTTAAATACAGTATATTCTCTTACAGGAGTCATCAATATTTGCATTGTGTAGAATAAATAAACATTTATTTTCTTCGAGTCTTTTATTCAGTCTGTTTTATAAAGAAGACTCATTTTGTTGGATCTGACCTTGAATGGGTCATGCACTGCCTGGGAAATGTGGGTGACCAGGTTTGGTTCAAGAAAAGGGAGGATAACTGCAATTTCTTGAATCAAGAATGGCAGCACAAAACCTGCAATTACTTACTCTGCAAGTTATGAAACCTTTAGCAGCCACTGTATAACCCTACGAGTGTAGTGCTTAGTTATAATACAAAAACTTTAAAAATTTAAATAAAGTGCTTGCACGTTCAGTGTTTACAGCAGTGGAGACTGTGAGCTTATGCAAGGAAATGTGTTTTTATAAAAATACAGTACAGTCATACTCTGCCCTACATCATCCCCTCAAGGAAGGTTCCTTGATGTTGGTGAGGGGCTCTTGATTTAGGGAATTGGATCTGTGCTCCAGTTCCCCGAATTAAGCCTGGATGCCTTCCACATCCCCCCCCCCCCAGGTGCTGTATAATCCTCCGGGTTTAGCGCTTCCCCCTTGATTATAATAATAATAATCTGCCCTACATCATCATTAATTGGTTCCAAGAGCTATGATGTGAACCGGACACAATTCTTAAAAATGCCTTATAATGACGGCAATGTAAAACTAGCATAAATAACTCGTGAAAGAATGTAACTATTATTAAACCTTAAAGAACACTAAAAACACATTTTAGTCATTTTTTCAAGAATAATGAACACAAATTATGATAGGTGACATTGCTGAGTAATGTAAAGTCAGACACAATGATGTTTACTGAACTGAAATTTACTCTAGAAAAGTGGCATAAAGGTGAATTTGGTGTAGGCCGAAATGACGTAAAGTGGGGTATAACTGTACTCTGGAATCTGACCAGGACAGGTTACAAGATGCAAGACTTGCAGTGTACAATGTTTGTGGGGAAGCATTAAAATCCCTAATAGCATTGTAACAATAAATGTGTAAGATTTATGAAGCACCTTGGGTATTTTTTTTTTTTTTTTTTTCAACAAGTCGGCCGTCTCCCACCGAGGCAGGGTGACCCAAAAAGAAAGAAAATCCCCAAAAAGAAAACACTTTCATTATCATTCAACACTTTCACCTCACTCACACGTAATCACTGTTTTTGCAGAGGTGCTCAGAACACAACAGTTTAGAAGCATATACGTATAAAGATACACAACATATCCCTCCAAACTGCTAATATCCCAAAACCCCTCCTTTAGAGTGCAGGCATTGTACTTCCCATTTCCAGGACTAGTCCGGCTATATAAAAATAACCGGTTTCCCTGAATCCCTTCACTAAATATTACCCTGCTCACACTCCAACAGATCGTCAAGTCCCAAATACCATTTGTCTCCATTCACTCCTATCGAACACGCTCATGCACGCCTGCTGGAAGTCCAAGCCCCTCGCCCACAAAACCTCCCTTCCAACCTTTTCGAGGACGACCCCTACCCCGCCTTCCTTCTACAGATTTAAATGCTCTCCATGTCATTCTACTTTGATCCATTCTCTCTAAATGACCAAACCACCTCAACAACCCCTCTTCAGCCCTCTGACTAATACTTTCATTAACTCCACACCTTCTAATTTCCACACTCTGAATTTTCTGCATAATATTTACACCACACATTGCCCTTAGACAGGACATCTCCATTGCCTCCAACCGCCTCCTCGCTGCTGCATTCACAACCCAAGCTTCACACCCATATAAGAGTGTTGGTACTACTATACTTATCTATGGAGGCAAAGAAGGGAATGTATATAACGTTTTTTGACTCCACATATACCTCAATGCACCACTCACCTTTTTTCCTTCATCAATTCTATGATTAACCTTATCCTTCATAAATCCATCCGCTGACACGTCAACTCCCAAGTATCTGAAAACATTCACTTCTTCCATACTCCTCCTCCCCAATTTGATATCCAATTTTTCTTTATCTAAATCATTTGATATCCTCATCACCTTATTCTTTTCTATGTTCACTTTCAACTTTCTACAGGTACACTCCAGGGAAGGAAGGGTCATTAAAGGGAGTGATTTGATGTTGAACTTTTGATCCAAGGTATTGGAACTGCCCACCCATTCAGTTCAAACCTGACTCAACACTATGACTTTGGTGGGTTTAGTGCATAGCTTGATTCTAATAATAATCAAACTTGACTACTATCCATTCCCCAAACACTGACCCCAATCAGCATAGTGCTTCACCATGATGAAGGGAAGGAGTGTTTCTAATTTCTTGTGCCACTAGTTCTACCACATTAAGGCATCTCAGGGGCCACAGTTAAAAAAGTTTGTTAATAATAGGATTCCATGATCATTGTAATACAAGTACATAAAGATTGCCCTGTAAAAAAAGAACTTACATAGTAAAACTATGCAGTGAGCAGGAAAACTGTGAATTATAAAAGTGTACTTGACTGTTGTGAGGGAAAGCCCAGTTGAAGATATTAAGAATTGTATAAAGTATAAAATGAATCAGTTTCCCACTCACCCCACAACAATATTTGTATGGGAATTAATATAAGTTTTAATTAACAAATGTTATAGATAATCATTATGACCCATACATCAAGATTACAAAGTTCCAAGTAAGGAGAATGTTGCTTGTCCTCAAGAAACTCTAGTTTAGTAAGCCCAATACAGTGGACCCTCGACCAACGATGGCATCGATTAACAATAAATCCGACTAGCGATACATTTTAACGCAAAAATTTTGCCTCGACTAGCGCTAAAAAACTCGACCAACGCTATTCGTTCCGTCTGAGACGCATCCACTTCTGGCCAGTGTTTACAAGCCAGCCAGCCACCACGGTCGCTTCCAAGCATACAATCGGAACATTTCATATTATCACAGCCTTTCTAGTGATTGCACCTGCAAAATAAGTCACCATGGGCCCTAAGAAAGCTTCTAGTGCCAACTCTACAGCAAAAAGGGTGAGAATTACTATGGATATGAAGAAAGAGATCATTGCTAAGTATGAAAGTGGAGTGCGTGTCTCCGAGCTGGCCAGGTTGTACACAAAACCCCAATCAACCATCGCTACTATTGTGGGCAAGAAAACGGCAATCAAGGAAGCTGTTCTTGCCAAAGGTGCAACTATGTTTTCGAAACTGAGATCGCAAGTACTCGAAGATGTTGAGAGACTGTTATTGGTGTGGATAAACGAAAAACAGATAGCAGGAGATAGCATCTCTCAAGCGATCATAAGTGAAAAGGCTAGGAAGTTGCAAGGCGATTTAATTAAAAAATGCCAGCAACTAGTGGTGATGTGAGTGAATTTAAGGCCAGCAAATGTTGGTTTGAGAGATTTAAAGGGAAGGGAAGTAACCCTGGAAAAGGACTTGCCACCTCAAGTCCTAATGGAAGGGGATTCCCCTTCTAAACACTAAGACCATCAACACTCCCCTCCTCCCATCCCATCAATCATCACCAGATCTTCAATAAAGGTAAGTGTCATGTAACTGTGCATGTCTTCAGTTTGTGTGTATTAAAATTAATATTTCATGTGGTAAAAATTTTTTTTGTTCACACTTTGGGGTGTCAGGAACGGATTAATTTGATTTCCATTATTTCTTATGGGGAAAATTAACTTGACTAACGATAATTTTGACTAACGATGAGCTCTCAGGAACTGATTAATAGCGTTAGTCGAGGGTCCACTGTATATAAATTACAAAGAATGGTGAAATATGATACTCTAGAACTTCCAAGAATATTGGATAAAAATGAGAAAGAAAAAACTGCTTTGGTACATGACAATACATTTTGCAATGAGCAATACAATTAATAAACAGATGGTTATAACTAAAACCAAAATTTTTAAAGGGGTGGACCAGTAAGCCAGCGGAAGGCCTCGGTCGGATGACCAAAAGCTCCAACGGCAGGTCATCACCTTAAGACCCCCGTCAGGAAACACTGTCCTATTTCCTAATGAACCTTACCTAACCTAAGCAATAAAATTGGCAATTGCCAAAATGTTGTACTCATCTAATTGTGGTTACAGGAGTAGATGTGATCAAGGAAAGCCTAATTTAACTTTGTATGACTATGGTTACTCTATTTTATCATAGATTCGTAATAGAATTATTTAGAAAAATCACAGGCTATATACAATAAACAGGTGTGAATCTCTTATTGCATATACAGTTTTCTAGTAAGTTGATTTAGGTACAGGTACACATAAGTACAATTATCATACATAGTGTAAATTACCTGGGATAACCCAAAAAAGTTAGGCAACATTTCCAATGTGGTCATTGAGAAATGTAGTTTCTGCCCCTATTTTAAGGATTGAATTATGCTTGATTGTTAGTGTTCAAATGACTTGTCACCTTAATGGCCCTCGTTCAGTTAAACTAACCTATATTAAACTATCCTGTATTATACTAACCTATATTAAACTAACCTATATTAAACTAACCTATATTAAACTAACCTATATTAAACTAACCTATATTAAACTAATCTATATTAAACTAACCTATATTAAACTAACCTTATTAAACTAACCTATATTAAACTAACCTATATTAAACTAACCTATATTAAACTAACCTATATTAAACTAACCAATATTAAACTAATCTATATTAAACTAACCTATATTAAACTAACCTTTATTAAACTAACCTTTATTAAACTAACCTATATTAAACTAACCTATATTAAACCTATATTAAACTAACCTATATTAAACTAACCTTTATTAAACTAACCTTTATTAAACTAACCTTTATTAAACTAACCTATATTAAACTAACCTTTATTAAACTAACCTTTATTAAACTAACCTTTATTAAGCTAACATATTAAACTAACCTATATTAAACTAACCTATATTAAACTAACCTTTATTAAACTAACCTTTATTAAACTAACCTTTATTAAACTAACCTATATTAAACTAACCTTTATTAAACTAACCTATATTAAACTAACATATTAAACTAACCTACATTAAACTAACCCATCACTGGAGGGTCTTTTATGCTGCTGAGGGCTCTTAATCTAAGGAATTGGACCTGTCCTCCCTACGGGTTTAGTGCTTCCCCGTGAATGTAATAATAATTTCTAAAAACTAAAACGAATTATCATTAGTTTTAAGAGCAGTTTTGTGAAGAGTGATGGAAGATCGACTTTCATCATTCTCATTCACATTAAAGATGCAAATTAACATCTAAGGAATTTTAAGTACGCTTTCAATGTCATTTAAGAAAATAATAATCTGAGAGATATAATATATATTAACAATAGAGATATATGATGTATGGAGAGGCGGTGAAGTCGACGGTGTGTGCAGTTGTCAACACTAAGACAGTGGGTCATTATGGTAGGTCTTTCTTATGCTGTTTTTCTCGTATAATACAGGGAATTAAGGCTCATAACTATGTTATAAAATACTTGTATGCATATATGACTGCCTTCTGGTTGTTATTGAGAAGCGTAACATACAATAATTGGATTTTTTTTTCGATGGCTTGTTTTTATTTAGGTACAAGTTTACACAATTTTTGGATGGTTGTAATTGTCTTGTATAGTAATGTAAACGTAAATCACTCAGGATAACCCAGAAAAGTCGAAGCGACTAGGCTTTAAATAAAAGATGTAAGAACCCCAATGAAAATAAGTCACTGACTATGGGCTATCCTGATGGGTAATTTACCCATGTTATTATGTATGATAACTGTGTAACTGTATTTATGTGTACCTTTATCTAAATAAACTTATTTGCTCTGATGTGCCTGTAGAAGCATATCCGAGGTCAGGTCAGGTTAGGTAATTTTTGTCAGGAAACAGAACAAGTGTTTTTCCTGACCTGGGTCTTAACCATATGATGACCCACAGCTGGAGCTTTTGGTCATCTGACTGAGGCCTTCCACTGGCTTACCTGTCCACCTCTCTAAAAATTTTGGTTGTGGCCCTGTGGCCTGGCTGGCAAAGCTGTTGCTTCACATACGGAGGGCCTGGGTTTAGTTCCCGACAGGGTAGAAAAATTTCAGTGCGTTTCCTTACACCTGTTGTCCTGTTCACCTAGCAGCAAATAGGTACCTGGGTGTTAGTGGACTGGTGTGGGTTGCATCCTGGGGGACAAGATTGAGACCCCCAATGGAAATAAGTCAGACAGTCCTCAATGACGCACTGACTTTCTTGGGTTATCCTGGGTGGCTAACCTTCGGGGTTAAAAATCTGAACCAAATCTTATCTTAACCATTTTGCATAACCGAAGCCCTCTGGCCAAGGAGGAATTAAGTATACACAAATACAGTTATACAGATTGTCATACATAGCAGCATATGTATAAAGAACCTAGGATAACCCAAAAGAGTGACTTATTTCCATTGGGGTCCTTTATTTAGGAGGCTATATTTAGGTGCTGTATTAATATAGTAAGCACAGGTTTTGCTCTGACTTACAAGATGTTATAGATCAGTACAGCTGCACAATGGAGACTGAACAACTTGATATAAAAATCCATTAAGGTTGACTTTAATCCTTCTGGCAGGTCTAAAAGTTTCTTATAAATGGTTATAATCATTATGTACTCAAATGTAGTCTGTTGATGCATCAGATGTGCCAAAGCTTCAATATTAAAAAAAAAAAACAATAACAAATTTTATTTCTTTGCATAGGTTACAATGTGTGAATGCATATAAAGCATGTTGATGGGTACACTTGCATGCCAGGGCATTTTGAGGCATTTGACTGATGTTAGTGTCAGTACTGGTAAAAAATTAAGTACATGTATTGGCATCTGTGGGTATTAGCCATTTTTTTTCTGGTATTTGTATTGGTGAGTATCAAAAATTTGACGGTATTGGTACAAGTCAAAATTATAGTGCTGTATCTGTAACGGCAAAAATATTGGTATTGTCTCATTACTAGTTTACAGGGTGAGTGCACTGTAGGAACATAACAGAAATATTGTGAATGAGTTTTATCATTATTGGGTTATTCTAGGTTAATTTACACAGAAGTTTCTATAAAAAGCAATTGTATAAATTCTGGTGGGTATTGGCCTAAAATTTAGTATCAGTATTGGCTAATTTTAATAGTATCAATATGGGTGGATATCAGCAAATTTTTAATGGCATCTGTATTGGCCTAAAAGTGGGTATCCGTATTGCAGGCATTTTGGTATCATCCCATCCCTAGCAATAATAATGCACAGTATGTGCATTTGCTTTATAAAGATTGCCAAATCACTTAAATGCATCTGTAGATGAAATGTAAAATTCAGTATTATTGTTTATGACTGACTAATGAAATATATATTGTATCAACACCATGAAAGTAATCACATTTTTTATTACTGTATTGCTATTCACCTTTACCATCATTACTGCCATCATCAGTATCAGTTCCATATAACTATTAATATTGAATATCTAAATATTTTTTCTTTCAAGATGCTGATATTTTTTTATTAACCTTAGAAGCCTACAAATGTGATTTATTCTATTGGGGTATTTTAGGTCCTTTCCAAGATTATGACCTGCAAACTCATAAGTGTCTTAGTAGGTGAACAGGGGCAACAGGTGTAAATCTTTCTTATAAGTCTCACCCAGACTGGGAATTGAACTCTGGTCCTATTGTTTGTGTGGTGAATGTTCAAACACTGAAGTCTGCCTCCAAAAACTTTTGACATTTTTATCATCCTTCATTGTCATTTGAATGCAAAATATCCCATAATACAGTGGACCCCCGCATAACGATATTATTTCAATCCAGAAGTCTGTTTGGGTGCCGTTATAGACCGAATTTGTTCCCATAAGAAATATTGTGAATTAGATTAGTCTGTTTCAGACCCCTAAAAATACACCTACAAAAGCACTTACAAAAATACACTTACATAATTGGTCGAGTTGGGAGCTGATCGTTATGCGGGGGTCCACTGTATGTTGTCTTACCCCACTTTTTGTATAAACTGAAAATTAACCCTAGGCTAATTACAGGACTTGGTTTTCTTTTTTTAGGGTCAGAGCCAGAGTAATAGTTCAGGGGGAGGTGGGCAGGGGGGAGATGACAAAAAAGACAAGAAGAAGAAATACGAGCCTCCAGTGCCCACCCGTGTTGGGAAGAAGAAGAGGAAGATGAAAGGACCAGATGCTGCTAACAAACTGCCTCTTGGTGAGTAGTAACATCAGTGACATGCACGTGAATGTTAAAAAAAACTTTGCTTATAAAAGTAATGTGTAGGTCATATTGGTCTTGGCTCCTAAGTAAAATAATGGATACTAAATTGATTTCAGGCTTTTAAATATAGGTTGAAAAAATTGCAGATACTGTAATTAGGTTTGACATTATAAAAAATTTTGTACACATTTCCTTATATAATTTGCAATTAGTCTTAGTACAGTATTAGTTTATTAGGAACTATAGGCAGTTGTACATTTATAATTTTTAACCCAACATATATACTGTGCATTTAATCCCTAATCACTGCCAAAACATTTGTGCATGTTACCCAAGTAGTAATAGCTTTTATATCTTTTTACTCATGTGCGAGTTAATTGTTCTACCATATTGTATTACTGCTACTACTACAACTACCACTAGTATTGCACCTCACTCTGAGCCTATATATACTGTCTGTGTCCATGTACTGTTTGTAACGGCTTGACAAAGCTCCTGGAGAGCGAAACGTTGCCACAATAAAATGTCACATTAGTTGCGCTTGTGTCCTTTTACTTTACATATTGTTGGTAATTCTACCAATATTATTACAGTAACACCACATACTCGTTGCCGCCTCAAGATGTTGAAACTTGAACGAATCAAGGACTACCTTCTGATGGAGGAGGAATTTATTCGTAACCAAGAAACTCTTAGGCCTCAAGAGGAGAAACAGGAGGCAAGTGATATAAAGTCTTGAGCTAGTTCTCTTAAGACTTTTAAACCAAACAATGGGTAAAATGCATATTGGAATTATAATTTGTATTTTCTGCAATTTTGTTAGACATTCTTATTGATATGAATTACAGTGGATCCCCGGTTAACGATATTTTTTCATTCCAGAAGTAAGTTCAGGTGCCAGTACTGACCGAATTTGTTCCCATAAGGAATATTGTGAAGTAGATTAGTCCATTTCAGACCCCCAAACATACACGTACAAACGCACTTACATAAATACACTTACATAATTGGTCGCATTGGGAGGTGATCGTTAAGTGGGGGTCCACTGTATTATTTCATTTAAACTGAGTGTTTTATGGCTATATACAGGGTGTTTCAAAAAATGGACCCAGTTTGAAATGAACACTGCACCACAATTACGGATTCAGTCTTGCTGAACTGCAGAACACAAAACACCTTGTGTTGTGGGATCGCCATCTTTCAAACGACTGGGGCTAGAGGCTGTTGGTACACTGGGGGAGGCATTTAGCAGTGGTCATTTGAAACTCTATGTTCCACCCTTTTTGAAACATCCTGTATTATTTACTTTTATCTTTGTTGAGAAACTATTTCTTTACACCATCACTTGCTAGAAAAGCAGCATATTATAAGTTGCATTTCAGAGAGACTTTTTTTTTTTTTTTTTTTTTTTTTTTTTTTTAAATTTCAGGAGGAAAGAAGCAAGGTTGATGATTTGAGAGGGACTCCCATGAGTGTAGGAACCCTAGAAGAGATTATCGATGATAACCATGCCATCGTCTCAACAAGTGTGGGCTCAGAGCATTATGTCTCCATCCTGTCCTTTGTTGATAAAGATCAGCTTGAGCCTGGGTGCTCTGTGTTGCTAAACCATAAAGTAAGTACCATGTTGCAGTATAAGCATGTATATACCTGTGCCCAGTTTTGAGGGATCTGCAGTTGCAGCCTAGCCCTAGGCCAGTATAATCTTATTCCTGAGTAGGTTTTTATTGTCTCTAAAACTGTGCCATAGTTTATAGCTAATAAATAACAAATTTGGACTGCTGTACAGTACTATAGTGTGTACCAGTATACTAAAAATAAATTAAAACTATTTTTTACTGAAGTATCTAATTCTGCTTTAAGTATACTTTTGTAATATAATTCCAATTGAGAAGGAATACTAATTATTGGGTGAGTATTTTCAGTTTTTTAATACTTCAGTTTATTTACATCATTTAAAAAGAAACTAATACTTAAAAGAATGACAAATACAGATACTTGCAAACCAAAACTTAAATTTTTCTTGTTTTGGCAAAAATTTTAGCTGTGGCGAGTTCATCTCATCTGAAACTTTTTCTTGCATGGCAGACATTTTCACAATGGCAAGTTCATCTTATTTGTAAAATGTGTTTTCATATTCAGTTTTTCATAACTTTGTCTGTGCTCGGTTCCGAGAAAATACCTGAGAGGAAATGTGCAGCATAAGATCAAATGTCTCCAGTTTACATGTTAATGATTCAGTAGCATACAGTAGTGCAAAAATGTGTAAAAAAAATGGCACAGTGGGTTGAAAAATCTTAATTTGATAGTGCTATACTTTATGTACCCTACAAATTTTCTTGAGCATGCTGACTTAAGAAAGCTTATATAGAAAAATTGTCTTCTCAAGACAGAAAGAGGTTTCAATATCACATCTGGAACAAGTCACAATAAGCACAGATTGGAAATTAAAAATATGATGTTTTGGCTTATCCTGGATTATTCCCTTCAAGGGAGGTGCTGTGATGCTGGTAATTAGGTACCTACAGTATTTGTAATTACCTATTAGTAGCTACAGAAGCAGAGCTGTGCTTGTAGTGTCCTGTTTTCAATAACTTGTTCATCATGTAATGTTTTAAAGTTTCCAGTGTTTGAAGCATTTATTACATCCTCTTGTGAGTGTGGGGGAGGTACGTGAGGCATTACGTAGAATGAAAGGGGGTAAAGCAGCTGGAACTGATGGGATCATTACAGAAATGTTAAAAGCAAGGTGGGGATATAGTGTTGGAGTGGTTGGTATTTTTGTTTAATAAATGTGTGGAAGAGGGGAAGGTACCTAGGGATTGGCAGGGAGCATGGATAGTTCCTTTATATAAAGGGAAGGGGGACATTAGAGATTGTAAAGATTATAGGGGAACAAGTTTACTGAGTATACCAGGAAAAGTGTACCGTAGGGTTATTTTTGAAAGAATTAGAGGTAAGACAGAGAGTAGGATTGCAGATGAGCAAGGAGGCTTTAGAGTGGGTAGGGGATGTGTAGATCAAGTTTTTACATTGAAGCATATATGTGAACAGTATTTAGATGAAAGTAGGGAAGTTTTCATTGCATTTATGGATTTAGAAAAGGCATATGATTGAGTGGATAGGAGAGCAATGTGGCAGATGTTGCAAGTAGTATATGGAATAGGTAGTAAGTTTCTAAATGCTGTAAAGAGTTTTTATGAGGATAGTGAGGCTCAGGTTAGGGTGTGTAGGAGAGAGGGAGATTACTTCCTGATAAAAGTAGGTTTTAGACAGGGATGTGTAATGTCACCATGGTTGTTTAATATATTTATAGATGGGGTTGTAAAAGAAGTAAATGCTAAGGTGTTGGGGAGGGGGTGGGATTAAATTATGGGGAATCAAATACAAAATGGGAGTTGTGACAGTTACTTTTTGCTGATGATACTGTGCTTATGGGAGATTCTAAAACAAAGTTACGAAGGTTAGTGGACGAGTTTGGGAGGGTGTGTAAAGATAGAAAGTTGAAAGTGAACGTAGATAAGAGTAAGGTGATGAGGGTATCAAATGATTTACATAAAGAAAAATTGGATATCACATTGGAGAGAGGGAGTATGGAAGAAGTGAATGCTTTCAGATATTTGGGAGTTGACGTGTCAGCGGATAGGTTTATGAAGGATGAGGTTAACCATAGAATTAATGAAGGAAAAAGGTGAGTGGTGTGTTGAGGTATATGTGGAGACAAAAATGTCATCTATGGAGGCAAGGAAGAGAATGTATGAAAGTATAGTGGTACCAACACTCTTATGTGGGTGTGAAGCTTGGGTTGTAAATGCTGCAGCGAGGAGGCGGTTGGAGGCAGCGGAGATGTTCTGTTTAAGGGCAGTGTGTGGTGTAAATATTATGCAGAGAATTCGGAGTGTGGAAATTAGGGGAAGGTGTAGAGTTAATAAAAGTATTAGTCAGAGGGCAGAAGAGGGGTTGTTGAGGTGGTTTGGTCATTTAGAGAGAATGGATCAAAGTGGAATGACATGGAGAGCATATAAATCTGTAGACAATGGAAGGTGGAGTAGGGGTCATCCTCAAAAAGTTTGGAGGGAGGGCGTAAAGGAGGTTTTGTGGGCGAGGGGCTTGGACTTCCAGCAAGCATGCATGAGTGAGTGTGTTAGATATGAGTGAATGGAGACGAATGTTTTTTGAAACCTGATGAACTGTTGGAGTGTGAGCAGGGTAATATTTAGTGAAGGGATTCAGGGAAACCGGTTATTTTTATATAGCCAGACTTGAGTACTGGAAATGGGAAGTAGAATGCCTGCACTTTAAAGGAGGGGTTTGGGATATTGACAGTTTGGAGGGATATGTTATATTTCTTTATATATGCTTCTAAACTATTGTGTTCTGAGCACCTCTGCCAAAACAGTGATTATGAATGAGTGAGGTGAAAGTGTTGAATGATGAAAGTATTTTCTTGTTGGGTTACCCTGCCTTGGTGAGAGACAGCTGACGTTGATAAAAAAAATACCCTTCCTCTTGTGAAGAAAAATGTCCTAGTATCCCTTTAGCTTTACTTTATTCTCTGTTAACATTAGCCTTATGATATGGGAAATACTTTGGTAGTTTTTGTAAGGGTGCTTGTCTTGCAGTATTTACTTTAAAGTTTTGTAAATATTATTATGGTATTTTGTTGGTTTTTATTTTTGTAGACATGTAAAAAGAAGTTGCCAGAATTGTGTAGTATCTTATGAAATGCTATATGTTATTTGCCTGGGAGCAAGGACATGCATGTATTGTACAGTACTGTATATTTCTTCAAATTACGATTAGCCATGTTGGTAATATATCTGACATAATAACAAGAGTTGGGCTGTAGCAGTTCACTGTTCATTTTCTGCCTGAGCATGCAGTGATATGAATGTTCAGTAATCAAATTTAAAAAATAATTGTCACTTGGATCAAATTAAAATGTTATATGGATTTTGGAAAGTTTTCCAAATCATATAAGAAAATAATAACACTATAGGAAAGTTACTTAAAAAATTATGAATCAAGAATGAGATTAATTCTGCTTTATAGGTACATGCTGTTGTTGGAGTTTTGAGTGATGACACAGATCCTATGGTTACAGTCATGAAGCTAGAAAAGGCTCCTCAAGAAACATATGCAGATATTGGAGGTAAGTTTTCGTGCATGTATAGTATCACTGAATTTTTTTAGTGTTGGAAATTTTAGTGACCACTTGCTGGCAGTATATATACTATTCTATAATCTTTAGGCTTATACATACATAGTTCCCTGAATATTAATTTTTTTTTTGTTTACTTTTTTTATATATATAAATTACACATGAAATATTTTTTACCGGCGCATAATTTTGTTACTTTCACAGTGTGCTAATTTTTATCTCAAATTACTGATCCTAATTTAATAGGTCTCTGGTACTTCAGAAGTTGTAAATTTAACTAAAACAAAATTTACTCTAACACGCCTACTAAAACATATGGAGACTTCAGTGTGTATCCTGCTAATACACATCTTTGTACCTTATCTGTGTTAGCAATGTTTTCCATATGAATCTTGTATGGTGAAGATTTTGCAAAAAATAAATTGGCTAGGACTGTAAAGTATACTTTACATGAAAGGTAATTTTAAGACAATTGAATTTTTGATAGGTTTGGATACACAAATTCAAGAGATAAAAGAATCTGTAGAACTTCCCCTCACTCACCCGGAATACTATGAGGAGATGGGTATCAAACCTCCCAAGGGAGTCATCCTTTATGGCCAGCCAGGCACTGGAAAGACACTCTTAGCCAAGGCTGTGGCTAACCAAACCAGTGCTACTTTTCTTAGGGTTGTAGGTTCTGAACTTATTCAAAAATATTTAGTAAGTATTTCCTTAATTCATTCATAAATAAACAATAAGAATTTGTAAATTTTTAGGTATCTTGAATAGTAATTATATTTTAGTTATGACTGCTACATTATCAAATGTTTTAACCTATGAAATGCAAAAATATTCTGGTCTGAGTATATTGATTAAAATACTTGACATTTAATGTATTGCTTCTCATATTTTACTACCATTATTCACTTTACTTAGGGTGATGGTCCCAAATTAGTTCGGGAGCTGTTCAGAGTTGCAGAAGAACATGCTCCTAGTATTGTTTTCATTGATGAGATTGATGCTATAGGGACTAAGAGATATGATTCCAATTCTGGTGGTGAGAGAGAGATTCAGCGTACCATGTTGGAGCTCTTGAACCAGCTTGATGGTTTTGATTCTCGAGGTGATGTCAAGGTACAGTACATTAATCAGCAATAAATGTATTTCCTAAATCCTCTTTATAAGGTTGTAATAAACTTTTTATAATTAAAAGTTTGTAATAGTTTAAATTTGAATCACAGCATACCTAAGGCTTATTATATTTGACTCTTTTTATAGGTAATCATGGCAACAAACCGTATTGAAACTTTAGATCCAGCTTTAATCCGGCCGGGTAGAATTGACAGAAAGATAGAGTTCCCACTGCCTGATGAGAAGACAAAGCGACGCATCTTCCAGATTCACACTTCACGCATGACATTAGCTGGAGATGTTAACCTAGATGAACTCATAATGGCCAAGGATGACTTGTCAGGAGCTGATATTAAGGTATGGTATATATACAGGAGCACTTTTACTAATTATTATGCTATTACATCTTTATAAATGAATTCAGGTTTTCTTATTCTTGTTCTGTATCTATATCGCATGAACTATTTATGCCTCATGATGTGCAATTAGCAATGCCAGCTCCGTAATCATTCGGCAACGTGAGTTCGAATAAAATGTTTTTACAACCAACACTTTTATCCATGAAGGCAAAAGGGAAATGTGTCTAAATATATTGGTACCAGTGCTTACATGGGTATAAAGCATTGGTTTTAAATGTAGCAAAAAGGAGGCTGGAGGTCTTAGGGCAGTGTGTGGTGTGAATATTATGCAGAGAATTCATAGCTTGGAGATTAGAAGGAAGTGTAAGATTACTAAAAGTATTATCCCACAGGCTGAAGAGGGGTTGTTAAGGTGGTTTGGACATTTAGAGAGAATGGAACAAAATAGGATGACTTGGAGGACTTATAAATTTGTAATGGAGGGAAGGCCAGGTAGGGGCCATCCTAGGAAAAGTTGGAGGGAGGGAGGATACAGAAGGTTTTGTGTGAAGGGCTTACACATCCAGCAAGGGTATGTGAGTATGTTAGATAGGAATGAGTGTAGGCAAGTGGTTTTTATGACCATGTACTGTTTGAGTGTGAGCAAAGTAACATGAAAGAATTCAGGGAAACTGGTTAGCTGGATCTGAATGCTGGAGATGGGAAGTACAGTACTTGCACTCTGAAGGAAGGGTAAAAATATTTGCAGATTTGACCTTTAGTACTGGTTCCCCTCTGGCAAGACAGTGCTGGAGTAAATGATGGTGAAAGTGTTCCTTCTTTTATTTGGGTCACCCTGCCCTGGTGGGGAGATGGCAGTTTGTTAAAAAAAAAAAAAAAAAAAATCAATATGCAATCTGTACATTTATCTGTAGGAAGTAGCAAAGCTTGTATAGAAATCTTTGTATTGTGCACTTCTAAAACATTTGTATTAAGCTGTTTAAACTTATGTTGTCTTTTTTTTATTTAAAATACAGGCAATTTGCACAGAGGCTGGATTGATGGCATTACGAGAACGACGAATGAAAGTCACCAGTGAGGACTTCAAGAAATCCAAAGAGAATGTTTTGTATAGAAAGAAGGAAGGAACACCAGAGGGATTATATCTTTAGGTATTCCTGAGAGGGTGGTCAGATAATCTTTCTCGGTTAATGTTTAATGTCTACTAAATTAAATAATATAGGTTTACCTCTTAGTGATTTTATATATTTTTAGTTCAGCATTGTATTAAAAACTTTATTGAACTAATTATATGCAACAAAATATGTTTTGAGGAATCATTTTTAGAAAATGAATGACAAATAAAATTGTGTTTAAAATTTTGTTTGAATTTATATCATTTTGTTTTTGAAACTTACTTCATTATAACCTTTTCCCTCAACAAATAGGATGGATAACAGGGAATATATCAAAACTTAAAAATCTTTCACAGAGGCTTCAAACACCCATTTATCATATTGTTAAATTCCATACGAATTAAGTGCTCTATTTGTGACTAATAATAACACATTTCATAGTATACATAGTTGGTCTTCTTGCATGTGTACATTTATGCTCTTCATACACTTAGCTTTTCTAAATAGTTGCACAGTATTTGAACTGCTTTTTATAAGTCTATTAGAAAAACACTGGTAGTGTAACATGGTTAAATCAGTTGAAAGACTGAGAGTATGGTTAAATGTATTTAGTGCAAAGACATTTTATCTCTTCAGGTAAAGTACTTTGATGCTTGTAAAGGACTCTGATTCTAGAATTTGAAGGTGTTACTACCCTTTTTCCCTGCTCTTCCTATTTCCCAGGCAGTGTATAACCTCTTATGGATTTAGTGGTTCTTATGAATGTAATTTACATTTTAACTTCTCTGTTAACTTTTTTTTTTTTTTTTTTCAACAAGTCGGCCGTCTCCCACCGAGGCAGGGTGACCCAAAAAAAGAAAGAAAATCCCCAAAAAGAAAATACTTTCATTATCATTCAACACTTTCACCACACTCACACATTATCACTGTTTTTGCAGAGGTGCTCAGAATACAACAGTTTAGAAGCATATACGTATAAAGATACATAACATATCCCTCCAAACTGCCAATATCCCAAACCCCTCCTTTAAAGTGCAGGCATTGTACTTCCCATTTCCAGGACTCAAGTCCGACTATATGAAAATAACCGGTTTCCCTGAATCCCTTCACTAAATATTACCCTGCTCACGCTCCAACAGATCGTTGTTAACTTACATTATCTAATTTGGTAATTTAACACCAGTATAAGTATGATAACTGACCACATTTCTCATCCTTTTCTGTTAGAGATTTTGGTATTTTGACAAATTATGAGTACATGTGAGGCTGATATCTTTCCTCGATAATGTATGGATAGTTAACTAAGTTATGTTATACTTGGAGATATTTGTGTTAGTGTTTTTAGCACATTCAGAAGTCTTGAAATTGTATTCAGTTTCTCAGCTACATAAGTCCTTCATTCTGGAATAAGATTGGAAGGTGTTACATGACAAACCTGTCAGATCAGGATCCCATCTCAAATCCATCAGATCAGAATCCCATCTCAAACCCATCAGATCAGGAGCCCATCTCAAACTCGACAGGAGGCCTGTTAATGGTTTGTGTAACAATAAAGTACAGCAGGTCCTCAAATAACTTCATTTCATTATAACAATGATAATAAAAATCAAACGAATAAAGTGAATACAAATTATTGGAAAATAAAAATTTGTAAAGTAAATGATAATTATACAAATGCATGACAGTAAATGATGCGGTATGAAAGTGCTCAGCGAGCCTGCCATATTTATTATTGTTTATTTTTGAACTGCATGGTGATATTAGATGCTCCTTACAATTTTCGCTTTTCAGACATTTATTCCTTAATTTAACCCTGTTGCAATGAGTGCTAAAGGTGCACTGTCCACCCTTGATATCTGGTCTCACTCAAAAAAAAAAAGTGTGACATTAGAAACAAAACGAAGTTTTTGTTTATATTAACCTATGGTAAAATTGATTTTGTTATACGTCATTTCACTTAGAGACAGTTTCCAAGAACCTGTCAACGATGTTGAGTGAGGACTTGCTGTATACTTCCTTTATATCCATAGACTGTAAACCAATTAAGTTCATAATTTTCGGTGGGAGACGGCCGACTTGTTAAAAAAAAAAAATTAAATGTAAAATTCTAGGTCTTTTGAACACACTTGAAGGAATAGATAATAACAGTATGACTAGAATGTAATAAGAGCAAAGAAAACAAAAACCATACATACTCTTATCAAGTTATAAAAAACTTACCTCGGCTACACCGACTTTCATCAATATTTAACTTAAGATGGAGAAAAAATGTTTCAGTAAAGTACACCTAAAAATGACTAATTTATAGACAGTAAGTCTCACTAACAGTATAAATGAGGAATTTTTTTTTTTTACAAGCGTTCTGATAAGATACGAATGTACTATTATCTGTGACAGAGTAAATGACAACATGTACAGTGGACCCTCAACTAACGCTATTAATCCGTTCCTGAGAGCTCATCGTTAGTCAAAATTATCGTTAGTCAAGTTAATTTTCCCCATAAGAAATAATGGAAATCAAATTAATCCGTGTAGGACACCCCAAAGTATAAAAAAAAAATTGTTTTTACCACATGAAATATTAATTTTAATACACACAAACTGAAGAAGACATGCACAGTTACATGACACTTACCTTTATTGAAGATCTGGTGATGATTGTTGGAATGGGAGGAGGGGAGAGTGTAGATGGTCTTAGTGTTTAGAAGTGGAATCCCCTTCCATTAGGACTTGAGGTGGCCTGCAACTAGTGGTGATGTGAGTGAATTTAAGGCCAGCAAAGGTTGGTTTGAGAGATTTAAAGGGAAGGGAAGTTTATTTATTTTTTTTTTTTTTATTATCACACTGGCCGATTCCCACCAAGGCAGGGTGGCCCGAAAAAGAAAAACTTTCACCATCATTCACTCCATCACTGTCTTGCCAGAAGGGTGCTTTACACTACAGTTTTTAAACTGTTAATGTTGCAGTTTAAAAACTGTAGTGTAAAGCACCCTTCTGGCAAGACAGTGATGGAGTGAATGATGGTGAAAGTTTTTCTTTTTCGGGCCACCCTGCCTTGGTGGGAATCGGCCAGTGTGATAATAAAAAAAAAATAAATAAAAAAACTTCCCTTCCCTTTAAATCTCTCAAACCAACCTTTGCTGGCCTTAAATTCACTCACATCACCACTAGTTGCTGGCATTTTTTTTCATTAAATCGTCATGCAACTTACTAGCCTTTTCACATATGATCGCTTGAGAGATGCTGTCTCCTGCTATCTGTTTTTCGTTTATCCACACCAATAACAGTCTCTCAACATCTTCAAGTACTTGCAATCTCAGTTTCGAAAACATAGTTGCACCTTTGGCAAGAACAGCTTCCTTGATTGCCGTTTTCTTGCCCACAATAGTAGCGATGGTTGATTGGGGTTTTGTGTACAACCTGGCCAGCTCGGAGACACGCACTCCACTTTCATACTTAGCAATGATCTCTTTCTTCATATCCATAGTAATTCTCACCCTTTTTGCTGTAGGGTTGGCACTAGAAGATTTCTTGGGGCCCATGGTGACTTATTTTGCAGGTGCAATCACTAAAAAGGCTGTGATAACATGAAATGTTCCGATTGTATGCTTGGAAGCGACCGCGGTGGCTGGCTGGCTTGTAAACACTGGTCAGAAGAGGACACGTCTGGCGGAACAAATAGTGTTGGTCGAGTTTTTTAGCGCTAGCCGAGGCAAAAATTTTGCGTTAAAATGTATTGCTAGTCGGATTTATCGTTAATCGATGCCATCGTTGGTCGAGGGTCCACTGTACTTACATAAGGCAGGTCACCACTTGCACTGCATCGACATATTTGTGGTGTTGACTGTGGAAAAAGAGTATATTTAGTACAGTATGTCGGTTCCTCACCATACAAGTACAGTGGTCCCTCGTTTTTCGTAATTAATCCTTTCCTGGAGCCGTTACTCTAAACGAAATCTACGATTTACGAATCAATTTTCCCCATAAGAAATAATGTAAATACAATTAATCCGTTCCTGACACCCAGAAGTATTAAAACAAAAAAAATTTTTACATGAAATATACATGTAGTACATAAACAGTACAATGGGAAATGATGAATGAAACATTAACAGCATAACACTTACCTTTATTGGAGATTCTTCTTAGTGTATGGGAGACTGGAGGAGGAGAGAGAGTGGATTGTTTATAGTTTGGAAGGGGAATCCCCTTCCAGCAACACCTCAGGTACCAATTGCTTTTCTGGGGTTGCTTGTCTTCTCTGTTTCTTAATGACACTAGGACCACCTTGAGAGTCACTGGAGTCCTGTCTCGCAAAATAACTGTGGAGAGAGCTCTGTTTCTGGCATCTCTTTAAAACTTCCTTAAAATGGCCCAAGACTTTGTCACTGTACATGTTGCCAACCTGGCTTGCAACAACCTTGTTAGGGTGATGTTTCTCCATAAAGCTTTCCATCTTACCCCACATAGTAAAAATCTCTTTAATTTCTGAAGAAGGCACCTTCTTCCATCTCTCTTCTTCCTCCTCTGCAGCAAGATTCTGAGCTGCGATGTGTTGCTCTTCCTGCTGAAGCTCTTGCAGCTCCTCAGTGGTGAGCTCTTCGTTGTGGTCTTCCACCAATTCTTCCACATCCTCCAAACTCACGTCCAACCCCATGGAACTCCCCAGTGCCACAATTGATTTTACAACAGACATAGGCTCATCAGGGTCAGTCCCAAACCCTTCAAAATCCCTCTTGTGGACACAATCTGGCCACAATTTTCTCCAGGCAGAGTTCAAAGTCCTGGTAGTCACTCCCTCCCAAGCCATACCTATAAGGGTTATGCAGTGGAGGATGCTAAAGTGTTCTCTCCAAAATTCCCTTAGGGTCAAGTGAGTCTGTGGTCATAGTCAATCACCTGTGAAACATTGCTTTTGTGTAGAGTTGTTTAAAGTTTGCAATGACCTGGTGGTTCATGGGCTGGAGGAGAGGAGTGGTATTCGGGGGCAAGAACTTTACTGTGATGAACCCAAACTCCTCGAAAATTAGGTTATCCAAGTTTGGAGGATGAGCAGGTGCATTGTCCATTACTAACAGGCACTTGAGATTCAATTTCTTTTCCAGGAGATACTCCTTCACACTAGGGCCAAACACTTCATTGAACCACTCAACAAAAATTTCCCTCGTGACCCATGCCTTACTATTAGATTTCCAAAACACACACAATTTACTCTTCATAACATTGTTTTTCCTGAACACTCT